CCCGCACAGTGCGCCCCCGCCGCGGCCGCCATTTTCTCTTTCGCGTATCGATCCTCGGCCTCCTCGTCCTGAGAGACTGCCATAGCGCCCGCCCTGGACAAATCGACAGCCACCTACGATTAGGTGCAGCCGCCGTCCGTCAAAAGACAGTCGGGTTTTCATTGGCTGCAGTGCGCCACGCCCGCCCCCAATTGCCTTTCCCAAGGTAAAAAGAAAGCTGGCATCCGATTGGGTGTCTCCGGAATCAGTCCTCTGAATGTCATAGGGTAGTGCCAGTGTCGTTCAAAAATAATCTCATAGGCCATTGCTCGACTGAGAAGTCAATCAATCGCATTCTCTTTTGGTCTTGTTGCTAGGTAACAAGTCAGCCACTGCCAGCGGTAATGCAGCAGATGGAAGTAGCGTGGCCTTGGTGTTTTCATAAGCCAATGTCAGATCATTAATAAAAAAAATATATGGCCAGTAACACTGCAGGTTTCTGTCCTTTATGGGCACATTCACATATATGAGTGTATATATGGCACTGCTTATAGTTTTGTCCTGTAAACCTTTAAAGTGTATATAAACCCAGGAAAAAACATAATATCAGAGATTACCAGCTCTCTTAGATGTGGTGGCTGCATTCGGTTTTTTTCTTTCAGGATTTCTTTCCTTTTATTTTCACATGATAATTCTGTCAGTAACACTCTTCCTTTGGAAGGGTGACAACGCACATTCGACCTTCTCTATCAGGAGAGCAGCAAAAGCTTCGAACTATAAACCCCTGCCCCTTCCTTCTTCTTAATAATCACACAGAAGTGTGTGGTTCTGTAGTCCTCAGAGATACCTTAGAACAGTGTTTCTCAACCTCTATAACCTCAGGACCCACATTTGTCCTTGGTCATTAAGTCGCGACCCCAAACCGCACCGGACTGGAATGAACGGTGTTGTGGTAATGCATGTTCTAGTGCAAGCGATCAAACTGGGCGGGAGGTGTGTTTGGGGTGCTATTCAAATGAATGGCAACGCAATGCACCTCCCGCACCAGAACAAACAGTAGGTGCGTTGCATGGTTGTTTGTGATTAAAACACTGACAGACACACACAACCACAGACACAATCTCACACACATTCACACTCCCCAAAACATTTTAGGGGTTCAATGTGGGCTGCTGTGCTGTGACAAAGCTCCATCCATATGTACCTTACTTGTACAGCTTCCTTTCACTCCCTGTAGAGGTGCCGGGAGCCAGAATGTGATGTCATGCAAGGGAGCTGTAAGCAATGCATGTATGGATGGACCTCCCTCGCGGCAATACCCCCAGCTCACCCCACCTCAAGTTGGCGCTAGGCAGCAAATTTTGAATGGCTGCTAGGGACGAGAACTGACACTGCTGTGCTATGCGGAAGGCTGAGGAGTCTCTCGCCTAGTGCACTGGAAGGCATGCGGCGACCCACTGAACATGGGGTCGCGACCCACTATTGGGTCACGACCCACCAGTAGAGAACCATGGCCTTAGAACAATGTAAAGTGATAACAGTCAGCAGAGAAAGAGAGCACAGAAAGTTATCAGCTCACAAACTTTTTGGTTTATTTTTTTTTCCCCTTATCAAACAGATATAACAAAAAAGGTTCAATGGTGTATGTAACAGAACAGAAGGGAGCAAATTGGAGTTCATTGTTAGGGTTCACATACACTTTAAGGGTTAATGTACACAAGCATTCAACCTGAAGTATGTGCTTTGCTTTTTTTCCCCCAGTACAGGTCAATGTGAATCCACGGCAAATGTGTAGTAAAAGCATTTCCAGCAAATTTGTACGCTAGCGAAAATTGGAAAGACGACTCCAGAAATAAAAGCAACCCTGTTGCTAACTCCCCAGGACGAAACTAAGGACCCGTTCACACATACTGCGGTGACCTGCATTTTAAGGCACTCGATCAAAGCAGGTCACCGCTACAATTGTTTTCTATGTGCCTTGTCCACAACACGGGTGTGATGAGAGCTGCACTGTGGAAAATGCATGCTGCGATTTTTCGCAGCGCACTGGATGCCACTGCCGTTGTTCTATCAAATTCTCCAACTGGTCGAGACCTCCAACCCCTGTCAGTGCGCCCGCGTAGCCACCCAAGATAAGTATCAAGCTCTACAACCTGCGGCAGATGGCCTGTGCAGGCACCCGATATCACAAGCACCAACGAGAGTTGGAGAACTCGATGACAATTTAGAAGCCGCACAGGCACACCTATGGCAACTGGAGAAGTCAACGGGCATTGCAAAAACTGTGACGGCTGGCAGTAGCGCCATCTTGTCTAAATCTACAAGGGATGTGACGTCATGAGTTGAAGATCTCGGCGAGTTTGCCACCTCAACAGAACACCAGTCACCGCATGGCATCGCCTGAATGGAGTGTACACATTGTACACTACCATTGAAGTTTAGAAAAAAATTTAAACAGTGGCAACTTCAGCAGGGGACGATACAACACACACTGCCAGAGCTGCCACAACACACTAGCTCACCCACGTAAACGCAGTGTTTTAGCAGACGAGCTAGCGTGAACGGGCCCTATAGGGACCCTGTAAAAGTAAAACAACACTTACCTGTCGGGTGGGTGACAGCTCCAACCTTTTGTAGAGCTTCAACCGCAAATGCTCTCCAACACTTCTGGGTGTTTCAGGTGCCTGGTTCCCCACGGGGAGTTGTAGCCCCATCCATTCACAGTCCTCTACTGTGTCCTGTAGTGATGCAGGAACAATTCAGAGGAACCACAAAACGTTGCATGGGACCAGGTATCTAACCCACCCAGAAATGTCAGATACCAGCAGTAACCATAGCTCAGTTAGGGTCTGGCTTTGGGCTTGTATGTCATCAGTTTGAGACGCTTCTAAGATCATTCAAATACATTGGAGGGAAAATTTGACCTACCTCGGAAGCTCCTTCGACTAGACTTGAAGGAAAGTACAAAACCCATTTAAAGTAAACAAGAGGCCACCAATACGGGCCCTAAGAGAGACAAGTTTGGAGTTGTCACCCACTGGACAGGTAATTATTCTTCTATTAAAGGGTTACTTTGATTTTATTTCTGTGGAAAAAAAGGGTACATGCCAGACATCTTTAGGGATACTAAAACACAGCAACAAAAACATGTCTGAAAGTTGAAGATTCTATATCTAGGTACATGTGCTGCCTCCAGCTGCATGTGTTGTTTTCTAAGTCTTTCCGTTTTGGGCCCGGGCATTCACACTAGCCC